CCATAGAGAGAGATGGGAGCAGGGGGTTGTTTTGAGGGATAGTCAAAGCATTTATTTTCCTGCCCTCCAGCTTCCACTCACTGCCTCCATCCTAATATAGTATTTTTCCAGAAACTCTACTTTGAACGAGATGCAGCATCCTTACCAAGGACAAGTGAAGTGCCAGCCAGCAAACACAAGCAAGTCTGAAAAGCCGCCTTCAAGTAGGACACTGCTTCCAACACATACTTGAAAACACTTACATATTTTTTTTTCCCTCCAATGAAAGTCTATTTAATCCTCCAGCTGGTAAACAACCCAATCTGCAGTGCACAGCGAGCTCTGGAAAGAAACCTCCCAATCACTGAAGCTCAGTTTTGTTCCACTGGAAGGTAAAACTCAACAGCTTCACGTGGGCCACCAGGGATGGGGCCAGCGGCTCCATAGCATGAAATAGCCACAGCGCAGGCAAAGTGCCCACCACGCTCCGGAGGCTGGAGCAAGCAGAGCTGTCAGTGGCACTCGGAGGAAGGGACCAGCTCCCCGTGAGCTGCTAAGCCACGTTGGACTGTGGTGACGCTCACATTGCAGGAAGGGGTATTTATATTTATCATATAAACACACATGCATATGTAGACATACGTAAACTAAATGGCTATTGAGTATTACAATCATACACAAAATAATCACTGAACATATAATATGTAAGTGTAATCATAAATGCTGTTTAATCTTGTGATACATACTTTATACACATATAAAAATTACATATAATTCATGTATTATCACCTATAAATATTCCAATTATTTGCAATAATTCTATTATAATAGAATCATTATTTACATTGTATATGTGTGCACACATGGACATACCCAAGTGAGGCTCTTCTTACTTGTTTGGGTTTTTTTTTCATCTCTGGTGCTCTGACAGCTCCCCAGCAGTTTCCCCAGGGCCAGCCTGGCAGGGTGGGCGTTTGCCCCCTCCCAGAGCCCCTCGCTGAGCATGCCTGTGGTGCATTCACCCCATGTCAGCTGTGTGACACCAGCGCTCTGTGACTTGGAAATCTCAATGCTACTTCATATGGCAACAGCCATGATTTGTTTACTTAATTATTTATTTTTAATAGGCACTTGATTGGGGCAGGGGCGGGGGGGAAAGGTGAGAGGAGGGAGGATTTAAATAGAGTTTGTGAAGTTATTCCTTGCCTGAGGCTGAGCCGCATGCAATCATCACGTCTAACTTGGATTTTTCCATTTGTTTTTAGGGCTCCTGTTGCTGAGCCGGGGTGACCTTGGCAGCATTGGCTGTGACCGCTCTCCCTTGGCCACCCCAGTTCTCCTGCCCCCACACATCCCGAGCTGCTCGGTTATGGGGTCAGCGTCCAATTGCAGCCACACTCGCTTGGGTGCCTCCGCTCCTTTTGGCAGGTTGGTGCACTTAGTGCAGCGGAGACACCTCAGTGCTCTCACCTGGCTGTTTTGGCAGCCACCAGCACCTCCAGCTTGGCCATGGGATGTCATCCCCATGTCCCACATCCCAGCACTGCCTGGGGGCAAAGCTCAATGTGGGGCCATGGCCACACTTACCCCTGAGCACCAGCCCTGTGGGCAGGTTCATTTCCCTGCAGGAATACCAAGCTGGGGGATTTTTTTGGCAGTGTAAGGCTTGTATTTAGGGGCAGCAAAGGAAGTCCATGCCCAGGTAGAAAAGCCTCTGCTGCCCTTGGACTTATCCTTTTGCTCTGTCTCCAGGTGCCAGCAGCTGAGCTTATTCCTGATGAGATGGTTGGTCCTGTCTTGACCTTGTTGGTTACAGGGCTTCCCAAGAAGAGTCTTCATCTCTGCCTATCATCAAACCTTGGCCAAAACACAGCACAGTACATGGCGTGTAGTCCCACAGGCCAGCGGCACCAAAGCCCCATTGCCACAAACCCAAACACATCCCACAAGGCTGTGGTTTGGTCCTGTTTGGGATCCCGGCAGCACATTTGTACCCTTCATCACCTGACCACCATCTTCCTCCTGGAAACACTCCGTGCTCACAGCAAGGTGCTTGGACAAGGCCAAAGGGATGACACCTGCTCTGTCCTCCTGGGAGGCATCTCCTTACATTTCAAGCCCTTGTTGTACATCAAGTGCCACCACATTCCCAGTCCCAAGTACAGGAGAAAACCAAATGCAATTACACTTTAGAGATGGCCTAGATAACCTTGATATTCTTCTCATGTGGCAAGAAAAGGGGATGCAGTGAAACAGTTAAAAAAAATCCAAACAACGAGGAGCTGCTCAGAGAAATGGCTCCCAGCACCCGAAATCGGACAGGAAATTAAAATGCTTGTAGTTGGGATCAGCAGTCACACGGTGTCCCTCTAACTCCGTTTTGCTCCAGTCCCGCAGCGTTTTCCGGTGCCAGTCGGGACGCTGCCCAGCCCTGGGGGCTCCCCGCTGCCCCCAGCCCCACGGCCCCGGTGCTGCTGGGCTCTGGCACGGGCAAACCTGGAAATTCAGGTGTGGAAAGCTTCAGCCCGGGCTGAAGGCAGTTGTTTCAGCACGACAAAGTGGCCATTTTCTGTTTGCATGGGCAGGATTTGCTTTGGGAAGTGGTATTTATAGAATCATAGACTCAGTAAGGTTGGAAAAGATCTTTATGATCATCAAATCCAACCGTCATTTAGGCAGGGGGAAAGGCAAGGGTATGACCTAAATGGCTTGGGTTAGAAAAAGCCCAAAGGTGAGTATTTCCAAAGGTCCTATGTGACCCAAAAGACAGAATCACAGAATTGCCTCCATTGGAAAGAACCTTTAAGCTCATCGAGTCCAATCATGAACTCAACACTGACAACCCAACTAACCCATGTCCCTCAGCACTATGTCTACCCAACTCTTCAATCCCTCCAGGGATGGGGACTCCACCAATGCCCTGGGCAACCCCTTCCAATGCCTCAGAACCCTTTCAGGAAATAAATTCTTCCTCAGATCCAATCTCAACTGCCCTTGGTGCAACTTGAGGCCATTTTCTCTCGTCCTGTCACTTGTAGACCAAATCTGAGCCAGGTGTTGCCCTTAGCAGAGCATGGCTGAGGCTGGAGGGCTGCATTGACTTTGCTGTTTTTCAGGGCACTGGGTCAGGTCTGATGGGGATGGCTGGGGACAGGCTGCCACTCAGAGAGCCATGAAAACCAGAACCATCTCTAAATTGCCACCATTGCAGGAAAGTTTAGAAACCAGCTGGCTAAAGGCAAAGCCCAGAGCGTTCCATTTCCTCACTTTCACTCTAAAGAGAGCCCAAAGGGGCTCCCAGCCAGCCAGATACTGCCTGAACACCCCCCGACAGCACAACGGGGAGAGAGTCTGTGTGTCTGTCCTTTGCACTCTCTGTGCCATCAGCTTTCAAGAGCTACCTGCAGGGAACATATTTAGGAAAAGAAAAAAAAAAGAAAAAAAAATCCATTTAAAAATCCATCACTTTGTGACTCTGAAGCTGACCTCAAATTACAATTCATGACCAAAAATGATGAAAAGAGTTTGTGGTGACTTGAACAATGATTTTTCCAAGCAGAGGCAGTGCTAAGCAGGGAACGCGAGACTCCTGAGAAAGCCGGAGGAATGCACTCCAAGCCTGAACACTGGAGATGAAATTTGTTGCATCATATAATCTGGTTTTGTGCTTTGAGTTTCAGCTAGATGGGGAGATACTGAGGTAGCACAAGAAAGGCCATTTCTGTGAGATCTTCAGTCCAGATTGGGAGGATCAATCAGGCTGCCAGGATTACCAGCGATTTTATTTACTTTTCTTTTTCATTGCTTTGCTAAACCCCATCTCCAAACAGAGCAACAAAGGAGCGAGTGTCAGCGTACAGGTGCCGATCAGGGGCAGAGAGAAAAAAGGTTAAGATGTAACAGCCAAAATTGTTAGATGAAAACATCATTTTTTAAAAGAGCCTGAGAGCACTGGGGTTTTAGAAAACTTCCCATTGTATTGCACTAATAACTCAAGTGTTCACAGCCGAGCCAGCGGACCCACTCTACAGCAAATTCTATTACTGGTGTGTTTATTTACAAAGGCAGCACTGACCCAAGCTGAAGAGAAAAGAAAAAAGACTGAAATATGGTTTTAAAGAACCACAGCTCCTTCGACTGGTTTTAATTTAAAATCCTAGGACAGTGTTCGTCATTTTCTTTTGTCTTTTGCCCCCTCCTCCCCATTTCTTCTTCAAGTAATGAGTTGTCCAAAGCCAGCCAGCCAAAAGGGAATTTTCCTCTAGGTGTCTCTGTCCCCATTTTTATTCTCATTTTTTTTCTCACACACACACACACACACACACTGTTCTTCTCTGGCCTTCCCAGTCCAGCTTCACCTTTTCCTTACCATAGTGATCTCCCATGTCCCACCACAGTGCTCCCCAAAGCACCGTTCTCCACCCACCGGTGCAATGTGGCCACCCCATGTGGGAGGCAGTGGCCACACATGGGAGCAGCACATGGTGACAGGGGATGAGAAGCCAGCACTGCCAGCTGGGTTCTGCCAGCCCAGCGAAGCTGTGGGCAGGACACCGTGGAGGACATGATTTCATCTGAGCAGACACCTGCACCCGTGCTGTACATATGGCTTTGCAAAACAATTAGCACCTGCTCTTGAAAACCAGAAGGTGTGGGGCCTGGATTGACTAGATTTGACTAGAAATCCAGAGACACACACGCACAGAGACACTGACTGCTCTGCTGTTGTAGTTCAGGAGAAAGCACTGTGTCTCTTAACAGCTCATACCTGCAACAAACCTGCCCCCCCCTCTCTCTCTCTGGAGTATTTTGCATCCCAACCAAGAGCACATGGAAGGAGAGGAACAAAAAAGCCCTCTAGGCTTTGTCAAGGAGAAATGCGTGGTCACGTAACGCACCACTGCCTTCCCCCAGCAATGGGGGACAGCACGGGAAGCTGGAGGAGGAGGAGGGAGGAGAACAAGGTCAAAAGAAAAGGTGGGAGCAATTTTAAATGAAAGGAAAGACTTACATTAAATTATTGCTTTATTTCTGGTTCTATGCAAGTCTCTGACATGCTCCACCCTGCCCCCCGAGATGCCACGTCCACCCCCAAACAGCCCAGTAAGGAGGAGAAAGACCTAAAGGGATCCTGCCCAAAAAAAGGAGCCTTCCCAAGACTTGGATCTACAGAGGAGTCTCTTAGTTAAAAGAAAGTCCCCAGCCAAGGCAAACCCTCCTACCCAGCAGTGTCAAGTCCCACCACCATCCCCTGTAGATGCTGAAGGGTAGGAGGGAAAGGGAAGGAAAAACTCCAACCCCAGTGTTTTGAGAGGTGTCCTCCCTCCAGACCATGCATGAATGAGGCATCAGGATGTGGAGCAGAACATAACGGAGAGGGCACACGGGAGAAGTCAACTAAGAGATGAACACAGGGTGGGAGGAGAAGAATTGTGGCAAGATGAGAGTTACCCAGCTCTCCTTTGCCTCTCCCCCCAGCCCCTGCCTCATCGGATGCGGAGGTACGAGGGGATGGAGTAATTGAAGAGCAAGTAGTCCATTTTGTATAAATTAAAGAGTCTCCTTTGGTAGAAGGGGCTAATGTCCTGGAAAAACTGAGCCGTCATGTCGTCTGTCGTCCTGGTGGTCTTGGATGAAGATGGGAACTTGATGCTTGTGTCAGCCCCAACCAGCTGAAGGATGTAGTTGGCATCTTCAGCCAAGGTCTCATACTTGCCCACCACATCATAGTGGACGATGCAGGGGTGGCAGAGTGAGTGCACCCGCTCCCAGTGCTCATTGAAGGGCTCCTCCCGCTGCGTCCGTGGATCCAGCAGGTAGTAGACGAACTCCTCGAAGCGCACGTCGTCCCCACGCTCCAGGGCCTTGTCGCTGGGCTCCTGCCGGTGCCGTCGGATGATTTTGGTCCCATAGCGCTTGTGGAAGGCCGTGTTGTAGCTGCGGGTGAACTTGTTGCGGTACGCTGAGACCAGGCGCTCAAAGGGCTCCCGCACGAAGATGAACTTGAGGTAGCTGCGCAGGCGGTGGTTGATCTCGGGGACACTGTACTCAGAGAGGGTGCGCAGGTTGGATGAGACGTGGGCCTCATTGGCAGGGATTTCCAGTGGATCCCGGTACTTGCCTTGTCCCGTCAGGACCATCATCACCCGCTTCCAGTTAGTGCAGGCCACTTTGGGCACGTAGCAGTAGAGCAGCCCATGTGTGTCATCTACCACCAAGTGCCGCAAGTCATCCGGCCGCAGGAGACGCCGCTTGCGGGTGTAACGGTTGCAGATGTTGCTCAACAGCTCACGTCTCTGCTGGTGAACTGCCTGCAGTGATGACTGCTCAAACTGGAAAGAAAAAAAAAAATAAAGAGATGGTCACCAGCTTGCCCAAGTTGATCGTGGCCTACACACAACACTTGGCCCACAACTGTCCCATTCCCTCCCCTTTCCTGGGTTTGGCAGTCACCCATGTGGGACTTTGGGGAACAACGTTGACTTTGAACACAACTTGATTTGTTGCATTTAATCCTTGGACCTGCTGGGGGCAAAAGACAGAACAAAATGGGATGCGAAGCCGGATGAGGAGACAAGTCAAAGGGGGTGAGGGAAGAAGAGGAGTTGCAGAGAGAGTCAATAATGAAATATTTTTTACAGCACACACTGGGTGAAGTGCTCTCCCTTACACCAGTCTGGGGGGACAGGCATGGCCCAACCCCTCCAGGGACACACAGTGCAGCCCCTTTGCGCTCGCCTCCGGGCTGCGATGGGGCATTGATTGCCGTGTCATGCTGACACATACACCTGTGGGCTCACTGTGAACATCACAGCCAAGAGGCAGAAATGTGGCACATGAGTGTGGGCATGCGTGGTGAAAATGGGGTGGGTGTGCTGCCAAGGAAAGGCAAAGGGAGATGGGTGGAGGAAAATGGTCTTTTAACGCTCATGGTTGAACCCTGGGGAGCACACAGGGAGCTGGAGGTGAGATGGGGTGGCAGGGCATGATGGAGAGGAGCAAGGTGCTGCTGGAGGTGGTGGTGGGGCCCTTCCTGACGCCTTTGGGTTTCTTCTCCTGAGGGACTTTTTCCACACAGGTCAGTCCAATGCTGCGGCTCTAGTCACAGTCTCCTTTGGCCACAGGGATGAGGACTCCACATATGGTCCTTCTTCTTTATCCCTTTTGACCCCTGCATCAAGGCCCAGCAGCTGCTGCATTGGCTTCCCAGAAACCCAGAGCCCCGTGACCCCTGCCCCAGCTGATCCAGATTTGGGGATGTGACCTTTTCTGTCATGGCTTTCATCAGAAATCTCAAAATGTCATTAAAACATCTGCAGAAGGAAACAATTTCCAGGAACTGAGAAGGGGAAGGATCCTTCCTCCTCCTGCCCACTCCTTCCTTGATTTGCTCATGAGGGTTGGGAGGTTTCACGTTCAGTCCCAAGGTCATTGCTGGGAACCCCTAACAGCCTCATCCCAGCCATGACCACTAACGGCTTCACCGCCCGTTTGCTAACCAGGGGCAGCTCTGACCCCGTGAAGCTGTTGCTCTAACACAATGCAACGACTGCCATGTCGCAAGATGACAGTGGCTTCCACTTTGGGGTTGTGAAGACAGTCCTGCCGATGTCACAGGGCACCATGGCAAACATTTCTGCAGTCTGCAGACACGTGGCAACCTCAAGATGCAGATCATCTCCTTGGTTCCTACATCCTTGCTGCTGACAGCTTAGGCATGCTGAAGGACACCCTTTGGCAAGCTTCAGGTGCACCCTCACCTCTTCCTGGGAAACCATAAGGGGTTTTGGGAGGCACTAGAGCCTGGGAGAGGCAGCGTTGTGGAGATGGGGCTTTGTAAAGCTCCTGACAGGAGTTGGGATAGTGAGACAAACTGCCCATCCTGCCACCTCCAGAGGGGCACTAACATCTGGGCAAAAAGATCCTCCTGCAAGGGATGAACCACACTCAGAACCTTTTAGATCTCATTTCCACTAAAAAAATAGTCCTATCCATGTCAACTTAGTGACTACTTTCCCCAGGAACCTGCATGGAAAGTAACTTGAGACAGGAGCAGGAGAAAGCATCCCATCCCTGCTCCTTCCAAGAGGGAGATGATAAAGGAAAATGCTCAGTTGGAGGAAATGCAGGTCAATAGACTCTAACTGCCACCAAGAAATGACTTTGACATTGTCGGCTACTAGGATATGAAGAAGATCTAGCACCTAGAGAGGTGATAATCATAGCTGAAGAGGCATTCTCATGGCACACCTCCTTGCGACACAAACCTTTCAACAGAAATTTCTTTTGTTTGGAGACTCCCCATCACCTTTGAAAACTGGAAACCCTTTTTGCAAGTGCTTAAAAAAAGAAAAAGGCATTTTAATAATGCGGGGGTTTTTTCAGGTGTTTTTCCCTGCACTTGCATAATTCAAAACTATTGGACCAGAGAGACAGACAGACAGACAGACAGACATTGTCTGCAGGCATGGCAACAAATAAATGTGACTACTTTTCAACAGCCGCCCACTGGAATAAGTGCATGTCTTGCAGTTATTTCAGAGCAAAATTGCTCCCTTCATTTCCTTCTCTTTAAAAGCCAGAGAAATTAAGTATCGCTTTTAAGGAAATAACACCACGACATTCCAGCAGCATTAGGGTTTGCTGGCATCGTGGCCAAGGAAGTCCACATTTGCCATTTTTCCCAGAGCAAATGTAATTTGGCTGCTTATTAGACATAAAAGCATCAACCTAGACAGTAACATAAAGTGTCGTGTATGGAAAGGAGACCTGGCTCGGGCTGCAGCAGGCACTGCCGATGGGCAATGGGGGTGGCAGACAGCTACAGGGACCACCAGCACTGCCCTCTGCTTCTTGGAGGCTGCAGAAGATGATGATTGGCCTGTGGACATGAGGAGATGCAGGGCATGTTTGGTGGCTGGGGTGTGTGGCCATGGCCCAGCCCGTTGCACCGGTTGGAGGGTGGTTTCTTGCAGGACTTCCTGTAGGGAAGTTGTGGGTGAGGATCCCGCTACAAAGACAAGTTTGGCTGCATGGGGGGAAAACAACCTTCCTGGGGAGAAACACAGTAGAAGGAAACAAACACACCTTCTGCAGCTTCAACCACAAACCTCCAAGCTCCCACTGAGCTGCTAAAGGGAAACCCTTCCCTGATGCTGGGTCACCAATGCTGGCTGGGCTGGTGGCACTGGGGGCTGGCGAGAGCGGGTGCTCCCCACCTCAAGCAGTGACCATGGCTTGTCCTGTAGCAGAGCCTGGTGTGGGGAGGGACCTGCTGAGCCCACCCTGAGCTCCCTGAGGGGAGCGTTTGCCTGCCCAGACTTGGGCCTGGCCGCCCCTTTTTCAGCAGATGTAGCTGGCACAGCTCAGGGTGATGGAGAGGCCTGAGATGTCCCAGGATTATAAACCCCTCATGGCTGGGTCCAGCAGTCTATATGCGTATATATAAATATATGCATATACGTATGGGTGTATAGCACCCAACATAGAAGCATCTATCAATTATTAGCTCAGAAAGTGTAGCAACAATGTTCTTGCCCTCCTCACATAGGACAATCTCCTGGGTTTCCCCAGCTATGGCTCAGCCCACCGGTAATGAAACCATTTGCCCAAGTACCAGCAAGGCCCATAAGCAGTTTTTTATCAACAAATTCTCCCCAAAGTGGTGTGGTCTCTTGGACACGGACAGAGGTTCAGGTGCGGGGACCTTGGAAGCACAGTGCCCCACACACCAGAGGGGTGGAAGAAGGAGTCAACCCCCAGTGCCCCACTCCCTCTTCACCCCCCCATCTCCCTCTCCCTGTCCCCTTACCTGGTCGCTCTCGTACAGGGCCTGGAGTGGGCTGCGACCAGCCTTCCCTTGCCAGGTGGATCTCATACCCCCATCTTCTGTGGCTGGAAAACAAACGAGAAAAATCAGAGGGGTTGGGGTGGCTGCTTCTCTCACCCTTTCTGGAGATGCCCAAGTTGGGATGAGGTAACGTCCCCTGAGAAGAGAGAAATCCATTTGGCTCTGGGAGAAGATGCTCAAGCAATTCTTGTCCCTCTCCCTTATTTTTTAACAAAACCTGCAGTTAGGGTTCAAAAGGTCCCAACCTAACCTTTAAACAAATAAAAGGCCATAAATTTTTGTAACAGCTTGTTACAATTTCAAAAGCAACTGGGAACAGTTTGATCCATGTGCATTTGGGAAATACCACTGTGCACAGGCTGCACTGGTGAGGGAATGACCCAGGAGGCAGCAGGACCCTGGCCAGCATCACCGTGGCCCCACGGGGAGCAAGACAACATCTGTGCTTGGAGTGATAAGGGGCAGATCTGACACCAGCAGCTCTGTGGGCTGGGAGTTTGCATTTCCAGGCTCAGAGACACGGTCATTAAAAGACAAATTGGTCAGATGCTTCGTCTGACTGATGATAAGTCATTTGAAGTTATTTGCTTTTTTTTCCCCCCCCTTCTAAACCAGAAACATCTCCTCAAGTGTTTGAAGCTGAAGATAACCATCTAAACAGCCCTTGCCCCTTCCCTGCCATGCAGATTGTCTGGTTTGATTTTGGAGGTCTATTTGCAGCAGCACCAAACCTGAGGCTCGATCTGGTCAGCCACGAATGCAAGTGCTGGACACCCTGTTGGTGACAGATGCTCAAGTTCTCATGCTCATAAATTATATAGAGATGCAACCACCTTCCAGGCTATGAAGCATCTGCTTCAGCTGCCTTCCCTCAGCCCCAGGGACCCATTTCCAGCACAGTGTGGGCAGAACCATGTGGCCTGGATATCCCAAGCCATGACAGGGGCACAGGCTCTCGCTTGCAGTAACACCTCCAAGCAGCTGTCCCACCTCTCACCCACCCTCTGCTTCTTGTATCTGACCCTCTCTATTTACAGAGAGTGCCATGACATTTTTCATATGAGAAGAAGCTTTCTAACCACAGGGGCTGTGCAGGCCTGGAGTTGGCTTCCACAGAAGAAATCACACTGTGAGTTTTAAAATGGAAGGTGATAGTTTTTCTGAAGGGGATCATAAGACATTGTTTGGGAGATCGTGGCCTGGGAGGTTCTTCCAGTCCCCCAAGTTCCTGCTCCTACAGAGACCTTCTAAAATCTCACAGGGACGTATGTGGTGGAGGGAAAAGCATCTCTCACAAACCATTTCTGGGAACATGAATGTTTCTAACACAGAGACTTTTTCCACGACAGTTTGGGGCTCTTGATCTTTTTGTTCACTGACCATCACCAAAAAAACCCGAATTTGTTATACAAACCCCAGATGGCATCTACTTAACCAAAATAACCAGAAGGAAAAATCCAAATTCTGTCTTCATTTTCACATGCTCATATTTTTGCTTAAATAAAAACTGCTCCAAAGCACCAAGTCATCAAGGTCTAAACTAAACACCGTTCATTCCTGGAGCTGTAATTAGGGGGAAATGACTGCCTGACCTCCCAAGATTTCATCAGCAGTGCATGTACTCTTGTGCGTTCATGGGAAATGACACTTCCTGCAGCACTGGGCTGATTGAGATGTGACTCAATGAGAAGGTGCAGCTTCTTCCTCAGTCCCCCTGTATGAGTTACCCCGCAGGAGGGTGAAACAGCACCTGTGCTAACCAGAGATAAGCAGAAGATTCAAATGCTTGTCCCAGAGGGGCCCCGTTTCACATTTCCAGGCTCAACCCTCTGCAAATGACAGGGAATGAGATCGACCTGGGAAACTCAACTCACTGCGTCTCAACTCTGCAAGCAGAGAGCATTAAACTCCAGTCCCTCTCCTGGACAGGGCTGATAAACTCCTGCTCGATTTAAGAGCATGACCCCACTGTGGGCTCTCTGCACCCTGCACCGCAGCTGATGCTTGTCCTATATTTAGTACAAGCAATGTGAAGGTGTTTGTTTCCGAGATTAACACGTGCATCAACCAGAACCTTTCTTATGAGGGACATAAGATGACCTGAAGCTGCTAGAAATGCAAATTGCTCATGCTGGTGTTGTGCAGGGGTGCATGGAAACACCATCCCAGGGAAAGGCTTCATCGCCTGGTGCAGGGTCAGGTCATAGCCCAGGAGGAACATGTGGGCTCAGGAAGAGGCTCTTTAGGATGAATAAAAAGCAAATGTGCAGTAAAGTGGGGAGCGAGCAGAGGTTGGGCAGGTCAGATCTGTGCTCTGACTGCTCTGGGCTGTTCCTTTTGGTGCTGCTGAGGCAGGAGAACAAGCCTGGACAGGGACTGCTGCACCTCGCATGACTCTTGCCAATAGCCCCAGCAGAAATGTTGCAAAATGGATTTCCTCCAGCCTTTTTCCAGTGCAAGATTTCCTCCAGCCATTCCCCAGCATGAGATCTGGCAGAGAACAAGGCATCTTTTCCGGAGAGCAGCAAACCCCCTGGGACCCCTGCTATGCTCATGCTGTACAGGGCTCCAGAAAAAAAGGTAAAGAGGAAGAAAAAAAAAAAGGGAAAAAAAGCTGCCAGGCTGCTCCCGTGTGGCTGAAGAAGCCTGGGAGCACTGAGCTGGCAGGGGGAAGACACCAGTGCTCCACACTCACTGCAACTTGACAGCTTTTGCTCTCCAAAGCGATGACACCATCCCCTGCCCGGGGCACTCGCCAAACCCTTCAGAGCAAACATCTGGCCCAGTGGCAGGTTTTTACAAGGCTCCAAGTGCAGGAAGTCTCCCGCCTCAGAAACCGTCTGCTCGAGCTACATGCGGCATCCCAAGGAGAAAAGCAAAGGGGCTCCTGGCTGGGCCGTGAGGATGACTTTCAGAGATGGTGTTACACCCTGTGGCAGAGGGGGAGATGCAGCAGCTGCAACCGTGCATGGCTCAGCATGGCACTGTGCCGGCACCGGGGTGTGTGGAGGGCAGCAGCACATCTGTGTGCCCTGTGGGACCAAAGTGTCCATCCTCTGCAGGGCTGGGGTCAGAGCAGCTGCAAATGCCTGTGGCCAGCAGTGTATGCTCCAACAGAGACAAGTCCGGGCTGCCTGTGCCCATAGCATCCCCAAAACATCTGCTGCAACCTGCCTGAGCCAGTGGGAGGCTGTGGAGACTGATTTAAGAGTCCAGCCCTGCTAAGACCAGGCTCTGCCACCTAACACAGCTCTGTCCCATGACCCCAAGCTGTGGCCATCCCCTATTGACCATCCCTCAGCCCCAACACCTGTAACATCTCTGCTGATGCACTCCTCTCCCCATCACCAGACCCTGGGTCATCATCAAGCACCTCTATAGACACAGCTCAGCCCTACTTTGAACACAAAATCCCTCTTCCCTGGCTGCTCCATCCCAACTACCTCATCATGCCATCCCACAGCATGCTCCCATCCTGGGGTCTCTCCGCATCCCGTTCTCACCTTCACCGCCTACCCCAAGCAGACAACAGCCCACCTTAGGAAGGCTGAGCTCAAGGGGTTCCACAGCTGGCTGAACTGCACAGCTGGAGAGGAAACCAAACATGGAAGGAGAGCCAGGAAAAGGCTCAATTCTTGATCTGTGCCTGTTTCTTCCATTAGATCTTGGATACAGCCTGGACTGTGAGGAGGAGGAGGGAAGAAGGTGGCAGATAGGCAATGGCATTTACACATCCCTCTTCTTCCACTTGTTCATGCTGAGAGCAAGTCAATTACCCCATCCCCTGTACTGTTGGCCTACCCATCCCTGGGATGCTCCTGGGACTCCAAGAAGTTTGTGAAGGCCAAGGAATACTGAAATATATGATAGCATTGAGGGGGGAATCTCATCAGAACACATTAATGGTTCGTGCTGCATTTTGGCACCACGGCCCTAAGTACAGCATGAGCTTCCATCATGGGGGAGCTGCCAAGATCTTCACATCCTGGCTTTCCTCCTGTCTTTATAGCTTCTTACTGAGGTTCCCAGATTCCACCACATGCAGTGGTAATCCTCGGAAATTTATCATCACCACAATTGCATCCGAAAGCAGTGACGCCACTTAGCCAAGGAATATCGAGTTTCTGAGGGGAGAAAACATCAACCCTTGGCAACTGCTGGATCACCATTTGGATAACAAGTATCAAGACAGTCTATGTCCGTGATCCAAATCCAAAATGTTTTTCACTGAGACGGGCAGAAGGAAATACCACATTTGTTCTTTGCATCTTCAAATGATGAGGCAAGGGAATAGGAGTGATGCAGAGCAAGAGACCCAAAACCCCATGCTCTGTGGCAGTAACATCAACCAGAAATCACTGAATGAGATAAGCCTGAAAGGGAGCTCAGGTACATTTTGGAGTCTCCTGTGCTACAAAGGCAAGGAGCTCCCTCCCTCCTTTCCCCCTACAGCCCAGATTTTAGTGCTGTCCCACCAAAACCAAAGCTATTCTCTTGCAGCAGCGTGACATCAATACTGCAGCAGGATCCGGGGTTTCAACAACTTGCCAGCTCTCTTTGGAAAAGAGAATAGATTTTAAAGCTGTGAATATTTGGGTGTACTAGCTGATTGCAAAGACAGCCAGACATGTGTGAGGTGAGGGAAAGACTGGATCATGCCCATCCCAGACTTCTGGAAGCAGCAGTGAAAGAATTTGCTGTTTTGGCTGCAGAGACTCTTAATTACGGAGGGAGGTTCTCTAAAACCACAACAGCAAATCCAGCGCCTGAATTGAAGTGTTTGGCTAAGAGACAGGATTCAGGCAGCGACAAGCCTGCTAGGCTGACATCAGCATTACCAGGGCTTTAGAAAACAGTCTGAAGGAAAGAAAACAATTAAAAGATGTGGGTGCAACTGGACAGGGGAAAAAAATCAACATGGCATTTACTAAGCACAGCTTATACCCACACAACCTGATCTGTCAATAAAATAAGTCATTCCTGTAGATCAAACATATGTGGTAGATCTTCACCCAGATATATGTAATGCACGAGCTATGA